ATCTCACCAATCACCAAGAAGACGATATAGATCTAGCCGGAAGCCCCTTGGGACTCTGACCTTGACATCTTCTTGCGTCTCATCATCATCACTGCCTCCACCTTCATCACCGATAAGCAAAGGGGTTCGACAGCCACCAGAAAGGGAAGATCTCTCTTCTTCAAAAAAATCTGAAGTGGTTGTCAATACCGTCGGTACGTCGGAATACTGGCCGGAATACGAGATTTGACCGAAATGAGCAAAATTTGACCAAAACGAAATTAAATTTTATACCGTTTCGGTGCAATGAAAAATCCGGTACGTACCGACCATACCGACCGGTATGAAACGGAATTAACTTCTTTGTTATAGATACAATAACAAAAGAAATACAAACAAAAATCTACATAATTTTCCTTCAATTGAATTGAATCTTCACTACTAGAATAAAAGAGAAAAAACATAAACATTTTAATTTCATAATATTATATTACAAATTAACCGTATAAAATTAGAATATAGGTTAGGTATATGGGTTAGATATATAGATCAAATATATAGGTCAGGTATACAAGTCAGGTATCCAAGTACTGATTCTTATATCCAATACTTACTCGATACTAAGTAGGTATGCATTTTTCATACTCGATATTTAATTGTCTCTTCACAGGTACTGGTAAAATAGTTACCCAAACAAATTAGGTACCTATAGGTATTAGATATACCCATACTCGATGCTCAGCCCTAGTTTATAGAACATGTGAAGCTTTCATATAACTAGTAATGCTTAATTGGTTGTCTTTATACTTGGTATTCCTATTATTGCTACTAATAGCGGTTGGCCTAGAAATCATTAGTACTGGGTGGCTTCTTGTTTTGTCAATAAATGGTTCGTTTATGAATGTTTATTGAAATGCTATAGGTATAACTCCTATTGCCCAATTAATTAAGCTACCATTCAGAGATTATAATTGGTTGTAATCATTATATATTTTTCTACCTATTAATAAACCATATCATTTATATAAAAAAAAATTAAGAACGTTAATTATTTATTACATATCTAAATTGGTGGTTTATAACTATAACCATATGTCATAATCTTATTTTTACCCAACTAATTGAAGTGTTTTCTAAAAAATCTTGATTTTTCTAAAATATTAATTTTACTCAAAATTTCAAGTTTTCAATAAAATTTCAAAATTGTAAGCTTTATTTATGACATGGGAAATTAAATTGAAAGAATTTTCAATGAAAAGTCAAGATTAATTGCAATTATTTGCATTCCATAATTGAAAATATTTAAAATTGCATATGTTATTGAGCAGGGACAAGATGGCAGAAACATGGAAAAGAGTCGATCAAATGACACAAAAAGTGTAGAAGATAAGCAGGTTGGGCTTCAATTGCGAACCCAAACTCAGCCTAAACCCACTTAAAGTTCAACCCAAAACCCATGAAACCCATTTCGACAAAAGCCCAACCCGAGCCATTAAATCCTCCTTTCAAACCCAGCAGTTAATCCCTTTTTAGTCTTAAGAAGAAAAGCTACACCGTTAGATAGAACCAGGAAAAGACGCAGGCCTTCCTCTTTTCATTCTCTTTCTTCCCTGCTCATTGATCCTTTTCCTTGCAAGCTGTGCATTCTCGACATGGAGGCACCACAGCGAGCCCTGCGATGGTCCTCTTCTTGGTGTTCAAGGTCCCCAATTGTCTTGCTTCTTCCCAGCAGAAAGGAGGTCACATTTGGCCTCGAGCAATCGAAGATCAAAGGAGGTCAAATCGGATGGCTTAGTGAGTTTTCGTATAAATAGGCATTAAAGAGGGTACCCGAAGGAGAAGAGCTGAAAAATAAAAAAAGTGCCGATAGAGAGAGAAGGTAGAGTTTGTTTTGGAATCAGCTAGCAAGTTGTAATCGTGCATCCAGAAGCTCGGATTGAAAGAAGATTTTCATCTGTCACCCACCGTCAGATTGCAATTCAAAAAAGATTCTTGTTCAATCTGCATGTATGCCTTTAGATTTGTAGGGAATAAAGCTTAAATTCGAGCTTGAAGGACAGACCCAACATCGGGCCTCCTCTTTAGTTCTTTTTTTAATCTTATTTTATTTTAACCTGTTTTTTACTTAAAATTTCATGGTTGTTGATCTGATTCAAGTATATGAGTTTAGACTTTGTGTTTAAGTCCTGTCCTTGACGAGAGATTCAAGGATTTTTCTGTTTAGCTGTTCTTGTCTTGCAGTTTCAGTAGGAGAATAAGCTGAAACTCCCATGATATCATTTACTATTATTATTTCTTGTGCTTGGAATAAACTCTCATAATTAAATTATGCACCTCTTTTTGGCAGAAAGATTTGGAGTGCAGAAGGTAAAGCATGTCAAAGTTATCGTCTGCAGACTATGAAGTAGGAACCAACTGCAAGCTGATTTTTTCAAAATCATGGAAAATGATATGTGTAAATGATTGCTTTGCTTGAGGATTAATAACAGAATTCAGTAATCTCTAGCTAACAAAGTAAAAATGTACAAAGCCTGTTGTATTGTTTATATGTAGAAACAAGTAATTCATTGTTTATATATAAATAAAAATGGTAAGCAGCATTGGGTCTCCTCAAGTTTTGTTCTTTATTTAACCTTATGATCTATTTTAACCTGTTTTTGCACTTAGAAGTTCATGGTTGTTGAACTGATTTGAAGATATGAGTCTATACTTTGTGTTTAAATCTTGACCTTGATGAGAGTTTTAAGGATTTTATTGTTTACCTGTTTCCGTCTTGAAGAGAATAAGTTGAAAAAAAATGGGACCATGGGCTGACCCAACATTGGGTTCCCATTGTTATTTTCTCCGTGTGACTATCTTGTTGTCCTGTTTGAATTGAAGAGTATGCTGAGATTCATCCCATGTTCCTTAAACTCCTTTTTGTTAATTCGCTGGTTCTATTGGGTGGTTTTAGTCTTTTTGCAAGTCAATCCTGACATGTTTTGCTTCAAATCATGAGTTTTATCTTAAATTCTGGTGTTATGTTTTTTATTAGTACTGTTGTAAAGAGAGAGAGAGAGAGAGAGAGAGAGAGAGAGAGAGAGAGAGAGAAATTGTTAGGTTAATCAGTTTAACTTAAGACATAGCATTGCTTTTTCGGTTGTACCCTTGTCACATGATGTAGGTCAGTTATTTTCTTCAAATCATCATTAAATGTGACAATTGTATTAGGTGATATATAGATTTTCATCTGTTTTCACTTTTGTAAACAATTCTTCTATTGGTTTAATTGTTTATTGGTATAAGTTAATGTTTTGTAAATGAGAGCTAACAAGCTATTTTTTTTAATAGTTTACAATTTGGAGTTGGGAAAGAGAGATTTTTCAAAATGTTGATGAGATTTGAAACTCTAATTAACTAATTTAAACACATTAAAGCTTGAGGACAAACCATTTAAGTTCCAAGATTTGATTCAAAGCTAACAAGCTATTTGTGTTTTTTTTTTTGGCTAAGATAAATATTGCTTGGTTGAAATTGCAAGTCAAGCTCTTTGTCGTCCGTAATATTTGTGTAAATACTTTTAGGCCATTACAATGAAACTTCAAGTTGACCATTTTTATGTCGGCTTCCTGGGGATATTTTTCCTGGGAATGTTTGAATCTAAACAGGCCATAAGGCACGTTTGGTTGACTAGTGTCTTTGAAAATTAAATCCAGGAAAGTTGATCCAAAAATGGTGTTGACTTGGTCCACGGTATTGAATTTCTAAGGACAGTGCATATAAGCGGATATAAGGGTTAAAAATGAAGTTAATTGTTATCTATCTCAGTTAAATTTTTTTTCGTGGTCAAATACACAAGATGAAAAACTTTCGGGTATGTTAATATACTATATCTAAAAATAGTTGGTTATATCTTCATTTAACCA